TTTAGTTTATTGTGCGGCACCTTGAGTTATTTGCATGATAACGCACCCTATAAATGGATTATATTGTAACGTATTGTGTTGGGTTAATGCTGACAACTGCTTGGTTTGGATAGCAACTTAGATTTTTAGTTTCTGATGTGCCGTTCGGAGAAATTCCTTTTGAGGGGCATGAGGCAAAGCAGAAGGGAAGATAAGGAGGGGCCAAAAGTAGGAGTAAGTTGTATGAATAATATTAGGGAATGCTGGCACTGAAAGGAGAGAGGAATACATTAACTTCAGACACTCTGCAAACCGGGGAGAATAAACTCAACAAAACGAAGTTCCTATCCAATAGCAATGAATATGTATTTACTCTCCTACCTTTTCCCAGGATAGCAAGTGAACTTCAGTGCTCTTTAGTGACAATCTCTCGTCTATGACCAGCACAGCCATGCAGCAGCTATGCTCAGAGTGTCATGCCATTATATCCTGCCTATTTATAAACTGAAGTCGGTCCTCTAGAGAAGCACTATATTTTCAGAAAAGTGGTGAAAGGAAGAAAAAATCTGCCGGCAAAAAAAGGTTAGAGTCCTCTTAGACTCGAATTTGACCATGTAATGAGTTCTGGTGGGGAAGGTTTTGTAGCCTAAGCATAAAGTGTGGAAGATATAGACTCCCCTGGCAGAGATGACTTGGCCCTTCTTCCTTCAAAAGTCAATATCCTACAGTGTATCTGCCATCAGTTTATTTTGCTGTGAGTATTTCAGGGGATATCATAGAAGCAGGATCTTACTGTGGGCACTAAGGAGCTCACAGACTTTGAGAAACTTTGGTGTGAAAGATGCATAAAGATGCTCCTTGTTATTTTATTCTGGTGGCAATGGATTGATTGACCAATTCTAAATTGCATACAGTTCTTCAGCTTGAATCAACTGAATTGCAATTCGACCAAAGGGCAATGCCCGCCATTTTCATGACAGATCTAATGGGTTCAATCCTACACGGCGCTGAGCACACTGGCTCTCCTCCTGCAAAGCCATGAGAATATGTTTAACTTTCAGCATGTATGCGTTCCCACAGAAGTTGATGGGACAACTCACATACTTGTAATTAAGCACATGCTTCAGGATCAGGGCCAGACTACTCAGCACTTTATTGTGTCAAATAATTTTTCCATGGCTTAAAGGCAGAAGGCTAATTCAGAAGTGGAAAAGTGGGTTATATTCCTTAGCTCGCCTGCCCATTTTGTCTTCAGTTAAAATATTTAGGAGGTACAAAGTACTTCCCTCGTTTAACTAAAATAGCTCTGTCACTTGTGAAATGTAGTGGTAAATATATTAGCAAACTGTACTTTAACTGTAAGGGTTTAATGATGAAAGCTGACCAATTGCACAAACTTCATACTGTCTTTAAATTCCAAATAAAGTGCTATCCAGAATTACTTTCTTCCAGTTTCTTGACTCACAGGCATAAATACCATGTTTTCCAGCAATTAAAAAATAAAACTAAAAATGGGTTCTTTTGGAAAATGAGGAGAAAGGAGAAGCCTTTGAAATTATAAAGTGTAACTAAACAATTGTGCCCTGTCACGAAATGTCTGATCCTATTAAAGCGCCACTGCATGTAACCAGAGTACTTTAAAGAGAACGTGGAATTCTGTGTTTACTAAAGTCTACATAGCTCAGTAAAAAAGATTTGGCTTCTACACATCGTTTATCAAAAAAGAGCTGCACAAAAGGATGGACCAAACTGTGTCCCTGATTTGTGCAATCTCATAGATGTCACTGGCATCACATTGATGTAACATAATTCTGCCCTTTTGGATGTATAAATGTTTAGACAAAGCACGTGATTCATATTTTGTTCTATGAACACATTCCCTAGTTAAAATGTTTAGACCCGGGTTCTCCTCTTACCTACCATGGTGTAAATCAGGAACAACCCCACTGAGTTCAGTGGAGTTACACTTGTGTACATGTGAGAGGACAATCAGGGCCTAAATCAGTGTTTCTCAAACTGGAGCCACCGCTTGTGTAGGGAAAGCCCCTGGCGGGCCGGGCCAGTTTGTTTACCTGCCCCGTCCGCAAGTCCGGCCGATCGCGGCTCCCAATGGCTGTGGTTCGCTGCTCCAGGCTAATGGGAACTGCTGGAAGCAGCGGCCAGTACGTCCCTCGGCCCGCGCCACTTCCAGCAGCTCTCATTGGCCTGCAGCAGCGAA